AAAACCGTGAGAATGGCCCAAACGACTGGAAATATTAATTTTCAAAAATTGAAAACTCCTGTGGTTGGATCCGGAATAGCAAGGGAAGACGGAAATGCCAAAGCACCACTTGCATCCGCTAACAAGCATGACAACATAACAAAGACTAGTCATAACCTGATGAAGTATAAAGTGACTCACCATAAAAAGGAGGACAAGCAGCCAAAGACCAAACCTATGTCTGAGGTCAGTCGATTGAATTCCCTTATGCTGTTTAATGTACCAGCTTGAACAGAAAGCTCTGCTTGATCAGGAACAGTGGGCAAATTTATGCGATAAATAAGGGCTGGAAATCGATTCAGCGAAACTGTGCAGAATACACAGTTGTGTTCAGATGCCCCAAGGTAAGCCACTTCCGTTAAGAGTAACACTGGGTTCTGATGAAGAGGCTGAAAGAATACTGTCACTGGCCCAAGTATTAACTATCGACAGAAGCTGTAACATAGGCCACCGGCTAACAGGCAAATGCTAGGGGGTCAACGGAACTGATGCCTTCTACCTCCATTGTCATACAAAGTGTTCCAGAGCTGGAAACTGGCTCTACTTATGAAAAACAGATGCATGACGTATTGAAATGGAGATGACCGTCATCACAGATGGCCCTTGGTGCTTCTGGAGCAGTTTCGAACTTCCGGATACTTCATGCTGCTCATCTCACACTAATTAGCTCCACAAATTCAACTCCCGAGAACAGTTGACCCTAGTCCTTAACAGTGGCACGAGACCAAGTGCGAATTGAGAGGACACACCCGATGCTGCGAAAGCAGGCCTCGAAAAATTAGGAAGTAGCAAACTGAAGTCTTAATTCGTCCCAAGCCTCAGTGACACTAAAGCGATGCGTCACCGAGAATGGCAGTTAGTGTCATCCAAGTGTCCTACCAAAATCCAAGGGAATAAACAACAACAGGTCGGTTCTAGTGCAATCGGCCAACTAGTCCCAATATTAAATCCTCCACCAGCACTCATAAGACCACACCTTGAAGTGCGGCCTGCTTGAACAAAGGGCTACCAAGAATTCCACTTCACAACATTTTGCAAAATTGCTTTGGTTTGCTCTTTTAATTTTGTTTTTATTTATCAATTATATATCCTAATCGTATTATATATAATTGCGCATTTTTAAAATCATTACAACCTACTGCGTTGTGTCATCCACAAAAATTGAGAAAAAAGCATCACTGTGGATGGCAGCGTGCACCGAAACGTACAAAAATCAATCAAATGACTGTTCCTGAACTCGTTAGCACTAATTGTAGATCCCTGTCCAACAGAATGGATTATCTCCAATCCCTAATGTATTCTAATGTTTATCGAAATGCTGGTGTTTTAGCAATACAAGAGACTTGGCTGCACCACCATTATGATGATAATCTAGTTTCAATAAATGGATATAAAGTTTTTCGCCAAGATAGAAAAAGTTCTATGAAAAAATGTGGAAGAGAGGTAGCCACTTATATAAACACAAGTTGGTCTGAATCAGATCACGTCTGCTTCAATTATTCTAGTGACAATATAGACTGCATAACCGTCAGGTGTCGCCCAAAACACTTAAGTAAATATTCTTAAATATACATAACAAATATCTACATAACACCCAATTGTAGCCTTTCTAATATAGTTATGTTTGCAGATGAATTTACTGAATTCGCTGCTCCTGCATTCGGAAACTCGTTGTCTATAGTCTGTGGTGATTTTAATTCATGTGATCACAGCTTTCTTACTTCACTTGGTCATGAGAATCTAGTCAAGTTTAATACACGTCTGGACAAATCACTAGACCTGGTTTTCATAAACGACCGTGATGTATATGAAACCCGAAGGAGAGCTCCTTCGCTAAACTCTGACCACTGCATTACTCGTATTTTACCGAAAGTGTACGGCAAGTTACAACAAAAATTGTTCAGTCATTTAACAAAAAAGATACATGAACGTTCCTATTCCCATGACAACATTCTAGCACTAAGAAGCATGTTGTATGATACCAACTGGGAACTATTTACTGACGATAAGTTGGATGCTACTGTCTCTAATATAACCGATTATCTGAAGTTTTGTTTGGATATTTGCTGTCCATATGAAACACTGTTTTCGAGATTTAACAGAATCTCTTCTTTGCAGCTGAAAAAACTTAGAAGACAAAAAGAGAAGTTGTATAAGAATTGTGATAATACTGGTGTCCGTAAAATAAACACCCTTATAAAAATTGAAATAGAAAGGTTGAACAGACTATAGAATGAAAAATTTTTATCATGTAAAAATCCTTCAATCATTTGGAAACTTTTCAATAAACTTACAAGTAAAAAAACAAATGTCTGTTGATGCTTATTCTGATGTCAATGCTTTAAACAAATCATTTATCATGAAACAAATTAATATGGTTGTGCCTGATGTACCTATTCAAGAAAATGGTCATTTTCCGGGTTTTAAAGAAAAGGATGTACTATTATGTTTGAAATCTTTAAATCCAACACACAGCCTTGTTCCAGATGGTGTACCAGGCATTCTTCTTCAAAAGTGTGCAGACATCTTGTGTCATCCTCTTACTCAAATCTTTAATGCATCATTTAACAAGGAAACGGTACCTGCTGACTGGAAAGAAATCAAGGTTGTACCTGTACAGAAATCATCTTCTGGAGCAGGTAAAAAGTTTAGACCGGTCGCTATAACATCCCCTGTTTTGAAAACAATGGAGAAACTTCTTTTGAATATTCTTAAACCTTCTTCAAAAGCTTTTAATGACCCTAAGCAGTTTGCTTATAAGTATGGAAGAAGTACATTGGATGCAGCCATTGTACTACACAACAATATTGTTTCCTGCCTTGATAAGAGTGCTAAGTTCGTTCGAACAGCTTTTTTAGACTACACTGCAGCTTTCGACTCTGTTCCTAGGACACTTTTATTAGGAAAGATGATTTCAGCACAAACAGAGTCCTGGGCAACTAGATGGCTGCCTTCTTATTTTAAGGATGGGAAACAGCACACTGTTTTGGCTGGAAAGCGCTTCACTTCTCAGCTAACTGAAAGTGGTGTGCCTCAGGGTGCAGTACTTTCTCCATTTCTTTTCTCTATTTTTTGCATAACCTTCCGAACTCACACAAAGTTAACTTCATTAAGCATACTGATGATCTGACCGTTTCTGTCCCCGTAGTTTCCACATCGGATTGTTCCCACATGAGTGGCTTCTTAGCTGAAGTTAAGGATTGGTCTGGCTCAAATGGTCTTAAACTAAATCCAACTAAATGTAATACTGTTGATTTCAGCTTGAGAAGTGAAAAAGATATGCATGGATCGTAATATCGATGGTACCATGATAAAGAGTAAATCATGTGTTTCTTATCTTGGCATTAGTTTCTCTTCAAACCTTTGCTGGTCGTCTCATATTCTTATAGCTTCTAAGGAAGTCCGTCTGACTTATTACATAAAGAAGTTGACCCAACCTCTTCTCATACAATTTATTAATTCATGTGTTTTACCCATCATTCTTCATTGTTCTCCATTATTCTTCCCTGGGCTACTCAAGAAAGACCATATAATACTACGAAGAACATTGAGGGCTGTAAGTAGGGTCAGTGCTATCCCTTTGACTCAACTAACTGACACTGTTGTCAATAGGCATATGAATTCTTGTAAACACTTAGCTAAAGTTATCTTGTCTGATAGTGAACATCCCCTTTATTCACAATTGTTTCCTTGCATCTCTTCGAGTAAGACCAGAAGAAATTTCATAAACATTTATGCTCGTACTACAAAATATAAAAATTCGACCGTACCATATTTGGCACGAATATTGTGTGAAGAGACAAATATCAGAAAAGAACTTTTACAACTTTTAAATCATTAACTAAACTATAAAATGAAATGATGCATATTCTTGCATGTGTTATTTGTTATATTATTTATTTATTATTAACTACGACCTAGCAATGGTGTGATTTTGTTGGGGTTTTGTATTTTTCCTATTAACTATCAATATTTTAACGTTTTCTACATTTATTTAATTATAAACAGAGCTAAACCATTGCAATATGTAAAAGAAACACTGAAAATTCCACGCTGTAAATTGTTATTGTTGTGGAATAAAGTGAATTATTATACCACTGCACCCCAATTGCTTAGAATAGCCTCTTGGAAATTCTCAAGCCGTGTGCGATGGGTCCCCGAAACAAACCACATGATGAACGGCTGGAGAAATTAGGTCCCTTCACACTTGGATTCCATTGGCTTAAGAGGGACTTGATTACTGCCTATGGGATTAAAAATGACTGGAATCACCCAAAACAAAGGTGTTCTGCCATTAGGCACTTTTGGGTTTCCTCGTAGAAATACAAGAGGGATGGCTGACCAGGGGGAAAGGAATCGAGTGAACTCCCATTTCTCTTCACTGCTAGTTTGCCGTCCCTGGAACTCCTTGCCGGCAGATGTCGCTACGGCACCGTCCGTGGACAGTCATACAGAGACGCATACATACATTCCAACTTCAAATTTCATAAGCTGTTTGTTTTTACGTTTCCTTTATTTTACGAGTTTCCTTTATTTCTTTTTCTGTCTTCTAGTGTGAATAACCTACACAAATTACATCTATTATTATTAACTCTTTTCTTTTGACGACGAAACCAGATGACTAACTTGTGAGAAGATCAAATCGATCCACAGTAGTAACAAAGTCTCAACACACTGCATCCTAGCACCACTCCTATTGGGGTCAACGAAAGCTGCAGCAGTCAAGTAGCGGGGCGGACTATGCAGAAGTTTTCTGAAGACCAGAAACCCTTACAACCCCTTACAACCAGGAAGCGAGCTCAAAGAAGTCAAATTAGTTTATACTAGCTCGTAAGAGTGATATTGGATATTGAAACCATGCAAAGGCTATTGGACATTGAAATCAGGATAGGACTTACAGTCTTTTCGGGGTCCTCAGCCAAGCAAATAAAAACTAAAGCCAAAGCGTTGAAGTCAAAAATCACAGAATTTCTTTTCCGTAGGATGGTACTATTGAATGTTATGAATGAATATTTTGTTTTACTTTACTAAATGGCTTGCCAAACGTGGACCGCCTTTAGGCCGTTGGGGCTATGAGATTGATTGCTTACTTTTGCTCTTAGTATTCATTTATTTGTGAAGGTTGGAGAGTATCGTAGGGATTATTGAATTAAAGCCCGCAACGAAGTCCAACTAAAATGTACAATCCTGGGTCTCCTTATATCCCGGAGACAAATTACTCCAGGGATTCGATGAACAGTCCAAACTTGATTGGGTTTTCTCAGCCAAGTTCACTGACAGATCAGCAATTAAATAGCAGTCGTCACAGTAATTTACAAGATCCTCAGGTAAGTTGGACACTCAATACATTTTGTGGGTAAAGTGGTTGGTCGTTGCAGGCCGTCTAACAACCTTTTGTTATTGTGTAATCGTTTTGCATTTATTCCATTATCATGCTGACATCATATAGTGGTTTTCGTTTATGAAAAATGGTCCGGTGATTATGAGGAATTTTACCGACCACATGTCTCCCTAATCCTTTTATTAGTTAAAATGTTTGGTCACCCATAATATGTCATGTTTGCGCAGAATAGCATGACTTCACTATGCATTTTCGTCTTTCCAAACCTATTTATTTGGAATAACTGTATGCTTACACTTGGTATTATTTGAGTCAGAAGATGTGCGTGATGTTTAACTTAACTTGACAATTAACGAGTGATATTTAGATAAAGGTATTACCACATAACTTCTATAAGTGATATTACTGTGGCTTAATTATGCTACACTATGTTTATATCTCCCTAGATCAGTTACCTAGGATATCCTTCCTTTTAAGTATTTGGAAGTATTTACAATGGAGACCATAATCAGTTACCTAAAATCTTGAGTTTATTTGTAAGCCATGGTTCAGGATGTTGACGGATCTTGTTTATGCATTTGGTTGCGAAATCATTTCACTGCATTAAGATTGACCCCCATATGTGGACTTTTCGCTTTCGATCCTTCGGTGTCTATTTATTAAAATTTGCCTAAAGCTGTCTTTGAATGTAAGATTTTGAACGTGAAATTCCTCAAACTTGTAATTTATGTATTACCACCAATCACATCTTGTCACATTTCTTATCTACGCACAGCTTATGTAACTGCCAAATTAAAAATTCTGAGACTTTCTCACCCGTTTACTACTCATACACAAATGTACGGCCTAGTTGATGACTTCATCGAAAAAAAATTTTCTTCACTGCAACCGTCTTTTTGATATTTTGAAATTACATTTTTACAGTTTTGGCTTCATAAATGTACATTAGTCAACATAAGGGTTGCTGTTTAAATCTTAAACATTAATGTGAATGGGTGTGCCACAAAATGTATGAAGAGAGTTAGTTACGCATTTTAATGTATCTAGAGAATTACAAATGGTCGGGTCAAAACGTATCAGCAGTCCTCAAGTCCAGTGATTGTTATTCTCATTTAAGTAAATAAGTGTGTATGTTGCTCTGAAAGTGTTGTCTGTATACTAAAAACCACTGCAGTCGCATCTGTTTATGTGTATTTTTGTGTTCTCTGAAATTGTCCCTGAATTTAATGTAGTTTTATAGCTACGGTAGTCTCATACAGATTATCGATTTGCTAGTTTTCATTTCCAGCCTTTCTTTGTCATACCTTTAAGATATAATATCAAGTAGTATTTTTTTTATAATTGTTTATTTTTACGAAGTATTCATCAAATAGTCCATGTTGTAACAGAATTTCATGTTTCTATGTACCATCTAACAACACTAACGGAGATAGTTTTCATCACTAAAGTGATGTTTGTGACATGTTTTTAGACTATGTTTCATTGTTTGTCGTCTTTTCTGACGTTATTCAGTCCAGTGATTCTTCTCTGTCACTTCTGACCCTCCCTCTTTTCAATATTCGCTTTAGCAATATTTTCGCGTTTAGTGTTATTTAGTTGTTTCTTTGTAGTACACAGCTATCTGATTTGGTGAGCTCAAAGTCAGTAGTCTCTTAGGTTAGGTATCACACTACTTTGTTTTTGTCTTCAAATGCATTTCCACCAAGCAAAAGTAAATCTTATGTTTTTCCAAGTGGGAAGTGATAAAATTTCCCTTACTGTATAAGTATTTGTCACATTCTGTATAACTCGCCGCTATTGCAATGTTGTAAGGATGTAGCTAGGAATCTATAGTAGTGACTCATTACCCTCTAAATGCTTGACTTCCAGCCAGCGGATAATGGGCTCGGATCTTTTTTTCATCCATTGGGGGTTGTAAGCCAGACAGTATTATGAATTCATACGATAAACGTAGCTCCGTACAAGTTGTCTGACGGACTGACTGAGATTCAACGTAGAGCTTTACACAAAAGTTCAGCAGTTCACCACACTCCATACAGCATATAATCGTAGAAAGAAAAGAGATTCAAAAAGAATTATAATAAGCAGAAATGTGTAGGAAAAAGAATGGTTACACGTGATAAAAGATGAGGGTTTAACGTATATACGAGGGATCACAAGAAGTAAATTCATCTGCACCATTGGGAATGCTTTTAAACTATATCTTCAATAGTCTCGAGTAATTGAATGTTAGCATCCTGAGGACCCCAACCAGTCAGCTTGCATTCCCCTGTGTGACTCAAACCAACTGTCAGTAACTTCATAGATTGGTGTCAGGTTTCAGTTTAGCCATCTGCAACTCTTTTGCAACCTAGTCCTATGTTAGCTGATTTTCAGGAAGGCGATTGCTCGGCATGCGCGATGTGTCTTAGCCATCTTAATTAATATAGTTGCACAACTTTATTGATCGAATTGCTCTCCTTACTTAACACTCTATATTCCTCACTATATTATATCACTTAACATGAGAGATACGACGCAGACATCGTTAGTCAAGGGTGACTAGCCCTTTCGTATCTCCCACTTTTAATGTCTCACTATCAGTTGTACAGTGTACAAATGCACAAATGTGCACTTTGTCTATTGAGTTCAAAACAATAATATTTAAACGTTAGAATTTAAAAGTTCGATTAATACATATTTCTCTGGTAGTTTCCTTTAAATACAACCAACAGGAGGACTTCATATAGTTCAGTATTAGTTGTTAGCTCATGTTACTATTATCTAAAGTAAGCATAATAAATACCAATAAAGCTTGACTTGTGTTGTTTATTTGTCCTTTTGTAATACTGGCTTTTACTTGATGATTTTGATAACACTTAAAAGATAATGTATTTGCAGTAGAACGTAACATGGCTATTACAAAAAAAACTGACAAAATAACTCGTGTTGCTAACACGGACTTAATTGTTAATAGAATGGGTTTGAACATGTGTACAGAAATGTTTTCCCGGTTAATTTTTCAATATCTTTTCTTACCTTGTCACCACTGTAAAGATAAATTATAATTAGGTAGCTTTTCTTTTCCATTTGGATTCCTCGAAATTAGAGACAGTATTTTAAGCTGTAATCATTCAGGCTATCCTCAAAACTGACTTTTAATCTATTTCAGATTAGTCAAAAACCAGTATCTGGTACAGGAAATTCTTTTCAGTATCCACTTCATTCTGTCACCAGTGATGCTAGGGAAGGATTTTATCCAACTGAGTCCTTTCAGAACCAAACACCTATACCTGAGTCTTTCAATCACACTGCAGTAAACCAATACTATCAAGTAAAGAGCACAATTTCGCAGTCTATTTCAACAACTCAGAATGCTGCCAGTTTCAATGGCTTGCCGCCTACAATGAATGTTACAAATTCAATGCACAAACCTCCTTTGGGATTATCAGAAGGTAACACATTATTACTTCATTCATGCGTAAACGTTTTATAATTATGTAATTTTAAAGATGCTTCCTAGGCAAAAATCGGTTTGTCTACTCTGGTACAAAAAAGAGTTTTACAGCTGACTATCTATGCTGTGTTAATCGTGTTATGGACGTCTGTAGCAAAAGCATCACACTACTGATGACTTTCGCACTTTACTTGTTCTGCTACAATTTAGGAGTATCGAAATACTGGATGCACTTTTAGCGGGAACTTTAGGATATAAATTGCCATGCATTTTTTCTTGAGAATCGGTTCATAAGGATGTAGAAATGCTTAAATCATGTGATATATATGTATGTATATATATAATTGGTCTATTCTATTGAAGGCCTTATTTTGGTCTAGATTATTGATTTTTAACTATTCAGTTATAGTCTCATATTCTTCTTGTTGAACTCGTTTTGTGTTATTGTTTATGTAACCAAAACATGCGTGGTTCACTATCTCGTATTCTAACTTGTACTTGGTTACAGTATTAAAATTAAACTATATGGTGCTCGACTCAATTACTTGGAATGAATCTTTCATGTACCAGACTAAGAGCCACACTTATCGTGTGAAAGCTGGTGATACTACTCAGGTGCTCAGGGTGATGTAGGTGAGGTTGGACACGAATCCGTGATCTGTTGGCTGCAGAATGAGTTCTTAAGCCAATAAGTCATAGGTGATACGGAGTAAAATCATATCATTATATTATTATTTCATTCCATTTACACTTATCTTGATATCATCATGGCAACGGATAGTGTTTAAATGACTAATATTTTTTGCCTTACATAATGAAGCAAAAACGCGTTTTCATTCCTTCTAAAACACGACTTTCAGTCACTTGATTATACAAATTCTACTTTCGCTGACTTTAGTCTCGTCATTCAGTCCTTAAAAAACAAGTGTGGTTCGTAATTAGAACTTGAATTCTTAAGTGTCTACTGATTTACATTCACTCAATTTTCCGGTAGCTGCTACCTTGGCGTGTTTATGATTATAAATTGGTAATAAATTGTGCTCGTAACGTCATCAGTAAATATTATTGTATGAAACTGTGAGACTTTATCGAAATAAATTTTACCCACAATGGAATAACCAGTTCTAGGCCTAATAATCATGCGTAGGCTGTGGTGCTCGGGAGACACAAACACGAGAGAACCAGGTAGGCTTTAGACCAGGGAGAGGATGCATTGACCATATCTTCACCCTCCGACAGATTCTGGAACATAGGCACACTTACCGGCGTCTAACAACTGCCGTATTTCTTGTCCTGAAAGCGATACCTGACTTCGTCTTCCGAGAGGTACTATGGCAGTGTTTGGTAGTGGGGGGAGTGTCAAGAAAGTATATGTCACTAATCAAAGCACTCTACTCGAACTGTGTACTGCGCAGCAGTTGACCCCGTCCTTTTTATGGTTGAGAAATGGCCATTGAAAGTAGAAGATACGAAAAGGCTAACTGTCTTTGATCATAGTCGTCTGCGTTGTATCTCTCGTGTTAAGGAGTATAATAAGGTGAGCAATATTGAGGGTTAGGCATCGATCGAGTGCTAGGTAGGTGGGAGCGGAAATCAATCGGTGAGGTGGTTGCGAAGCTACTAGATCGATTAAGATGGTTAGGACATGTTAATCATGCATGACTAGCTACCGATCGCATTCCTCGACGGGCGGCGTTAGTTGACTGACGTAGGATGGATCAGGTTGAAAAGGAGTTAGGTAGTGGTGGTCAAACGAAAACATAGCCTCACCAGTCAATCAAATCTACAACAGTTAGTTTAAGTCAGCCAGTCACGCAGGGAGGGAGGTGTAGACTGCCTGGCTGGTTGGTGTCCTTGGGATGGTAAGAACCAATGACGGCTGGAGACAATTGGTGATGTGGCTCAAAATCATCGTTGTTAATGGCTGGCACAGTTGCATTCATTCTTTGTGATTTGTCATATCCAGTAAAACTATTGTTCTTCCGTATTACTATTCTTTTTCCCTCAATTACATTTGTATACATTATTTCCCTCTGTTTGAATGTGTCTTTTCTTGCTTCCTGTGCTAGTGGCAACTCGAACTACTGCACATCTGTGCACAGTTTTATGTTGGAACCAGTCAGTCGTAATTTTCGGTTCATCAGTTCACTATCCAGAGTTAAGTTAAAATAAGCAGAAATGAATGTTTCTTAATATTTGATGTTTCTAGACGATTTTCGGTAGTGTTTCGATTGTTTATTCTTAAAAAGGCTTCATTGTATATCGTTGTAAACCTTTTTCTTTACAGATAACCACCAGTCACAGCATTCAAATGCAAAGTCACATCTACAATCTCCACTGCAACCTCCAAACACGTCATCCACTTCACTTCCACAACAAAACGATTTGTATGCATCTGGCAACACCAATGTGTATTCTAATCCTCCTCATGTATTTGGTCAGTATAATTCGTCGTTAAACGCTCCTATGCAGTCTCGTGGTACAAGCGACTATGACAAGGTTCCACAAAGTGGTCATACATCTGCACGAGAATACACAAGTACTTCTCAACAGTCACCTTCCTTAGTGACTTCGAATGACTATCATGCACCAAGTTTGCCGAGTACGCAAGCGCCTATCCAGTTTTACAACAGCCAGCAAAATCCTGCTGCAGTGTTGCCTCCACATCCTAGAACATTTGCATCTGGTCAAGATGCACCGCCTCCTACAAGAGCTCATAACTTGGGATCTGTGAACATGGATCCATCTGTTAGGTCACCAAATTTATACCCACCGCCTCCTATGCATGAGGTGCATCCTCCCCTGAATCCCATTGGATCAACCGGAATACCTCCACCATTGCCTTCAGTTCCAATGCCAAATATGAGTACAAATTACCAAACTTATCCTCAACAAATGCGTTCTGGTGCAGACAATATTCGTCAGCCTAATATTCCTCGACATCCAGGTTATGATCAGAATACTGTTTTTCGAACACCTGGAACTGCGGCAAGTATTTCTGATTGGAATAACTTGAAGACACCAATCAATCTTCTTCAAGAGCGTTGTTTGTTACCATCAGATGGACCTGATTTACCACCTAAACCCATGTTGACTACACCAGTAAGTATAATTTCAAAGGTATAGTAATTGAATCACATGTGAGAATATTTTCTATTCGTCGCTTTCAAGACTTGTGAGCATTTGTTTATAGTTCAGTCATTTTTTCGGAGTGTAGCTTTTGTTTTCATTGATTTTGAGCTCTGATAAGTGTTCACTTACAAGGTGAACGTCGGATATGATACAATATCTACTTAAAATTGTGGATTTATTATGAAAGACTGACTAGAGATTTCCAACGGGAATTAAGGAATACTATTCTTGGTAGAATTTGAGTAATATATTGGTACAGATATTTTTGATGTTGCTTACTATATATTTACCCTTTCATACAGAGCTGTCCTATTTGATGAGTAGCTTGTAGGTCACACAACTTAGTTGGGTAAAGACGCTAACAAGATATTAAGTGTTATTAGCATTAGATTAACGTGTAATGATGATATGTGTGACGTGTTTTGTGCACGTGTCTAGTTAACGGTAAAAAAAAATACTATTTGCATATAGTTCATGTTTATAAAAAGAATAATAAGTAGTGACATTTTGGAACTGAGCTTAACGAGTTCAATGATCTACACATAGTGCACAGTTAGTCGAATAATTGATTCATGGTAATGTTAGATGCATGTAGACATTTTGTAAACTCTTAGATATGGAATCAAGTGATTCTAATTTTTTGAGCATGACCAACACACTTGCTCATGTCTGTTTATAGTGCTTTTTTTTTCTTATTTCCTTTACGTTCCCAGTGGAACATAGGGCTTCAAGCTAGAGGCTTGAAGTTTCTGTAGCACTAGTGTTTATTTTTACAGGATGGGGTTGCTACTGGCCTTATATCCCCCAACCTTCCCTCTTTACCAGTCTTATTACTGGCTTAGTGAGGTAAAGGAGTGTATCTGTGGCCGAGGATCGAACCCCGGACCACATGAGGAGTCGTTGGCGAGCATTCTACCGCTGTGCCACCGACGCACCTGTACAATGCTAGTGAGGATTAAGAATAAAATGCGTTAGCTGAAAAAGGGCTAGACTATGAAAGAGTTAGCGGATATAAGAACAAAACACGTACCAATCCATGATGTCTTTGGCTAGGTTGAAACCAGTCAGTCAGTGAGTCAGTAAACTATCTCGCTGGGGATATTCATTTCGATTCACTAAAATACATATGTATTCATATCGTGTATTATTATTGTTCCCTTGGGTTCTTAGTGGAACATAGGGCTTCAAGTGCACGTCTCCACTTGTTTCTGTCTTCTGCTGTGCTTTTCACCTGCATCCATGTTAGTTCATACTGTTTCAGCTCCTCTTCACACGATCTCCTCCATGTCACCCTTGGACGTCCCACTCGCCGCTTCCCTTTCGGGTTCCACTCGAGGGCCTGACGCACGATGTCACCCAGCGGCCTCCTCAGCGAGTGTCCAACCCATCTCCACTTTATCCTGCATATTTGTTGGACGATTGGTTCTTGTTTTGTTTGTTCCCATAGTTTCTTGTTGGTGATTCTTTCCGGCCATCTGATCTTGATTATAGAACGAAGACAGTTGTTGATAAAGGTTTGCAACCTGTTGGAAATATTCTTTGTGACCCGCCAAGTTTCTGATCCGTATAGAAGAACTGACTGACTTGACGTTTGTATTGAAAATCCGAATTTTGTTGTTGATGCAGACTGAGTGACGAATATTTCCAGATTGGTTTCAGGTTGATGAATGTTTTTCTCGCCTTCCCGATTCTCGATTTGACATCCTCGTCCATTCCTCCTGTGGTTGAGACAATGCTCCCTAGATAAGTGAATGAAGTAACCTCTTTCAAATCCCTCCCGTTGGTAGTGAATGGCGGTGGATGTTGCTGCTGTTGTTGTTGTTGTTGTTGGTTGGTTATTTTCATAACCTCCGTCTTGTCTATGTTCACCTGGAGTCCTGTCTTCTCTGGCTGCTTCTTCGATCAGTTTGTCGGTTTTCGCTTGTAAGTCTTCGATTTTGTGTGACATCAAACATAAATCATCCACGCGCGAAATCCAGGTCTTCTAGGTTCTTCACGTCGGTCCAGGATATCCCTGTCTTCTTGTTTCCCACTGTCTGACGCATAATCCAGTCCACCACAATTAGGAATATCATTGGTGATAATAAGCACCCTTGTCTGACTCCTGTGTTTACTCCAAACGCCTCGCTGAGTTTTCCGTTGTGGATCACTTGATATGTGCCATTGTTGTACAGCTGTTGAATAAGGTTGATGAATATTTGGGGTACGTCGTAGTACTGGAGTAGTTTCCAAATTACTTCGCGGTCAACGCTGTCGAAGGCCTTCTCAAAGTCTATGAAGTTGAGGTAGAGGTTGGATTGCCATTCCATGCTTTGTGCGATGATGATGTGTAGAGTTGCAATTTGGTCAGAACATGATTTGCCTTTCCTGAATCCAGCTTGCTCTGGTCGGAATTCTGCATCCAGTGCGTCCTTTATTTTCTCCAGGATGATGCGACTCAGAATTTTACTTGGCGTCGACAGGTGGATGATTCCTCGCCAGTTCTTGCAGAGTCCTAAGTCGCCCTTCTTTGGTAGTTCCACGAGGTAACCTTTCCTCCAGTCAGTAGGCACCTTTCTCTCCTTCCAGACCTTTTGCAATAATGGAGTCAGCATATCTGCTGTCGTCTCTGGGTCCGCTTTCAGTGCTTCAGGGGGTATTCCATCTGGTCCAGCTGCTTTTCCAGCTTTCAGAAGCTCGACTGCATTCAAGACTTCAGCTTTCGTTGGAGGATTGGTGTCAACTTACAGTTGTGTACGCGCTGTTGTTGGTATTTCTGGACAGGTTGCAGGTGGTGGTCGGTTCAAGAGTCCTTTGAAGTGATACGTCCATTGTTTAATCTGTCTTTCTTCCTTGGTAATTGGGTTCCCTTGGCTGTCTTTTATAGGTTTCACTTGTGTTGATCTCTTCCCGGATAGAGACTTGGTTATCTGATATAGTGTCCTCAGGTCCCTTTTGCCTGCTGCCTTCTCAGCTTCAGTGGCCAAGTTGTCGTAGAATTGTCTTTTGTCCTTCCTGGCACTCTTCTTCCCTTCTTTGTCCAGTGCTGTGTAAGTTGAGCTCAGCGTCTCTTTCTCTTCTCCATCTTTGCATTGAATCATTTTCTCTTTCACCATTCTCCTCTCCCCTATTAGCTTCCAAGTGTCTGTTGAGAGCCATTCCTTGTCTTGTTTCTTCTTTCTTCCTAAAACCGTTGAACACGTTTCGTTGAAAATTACCTTCAGAGAGTTCCAATGGTCTTCCACGGATGATTCCTCAGTGGTGCCAGGTAGTCTTTCTTGCTTTGCCCTGACAGTTGCAGTGAAAATGTCTCTTGTGGTTGTGTCCTTCAGTTTTTGAGTGTTGAACTTGCATTGTGGCCTATCCCCAGCTATCCTCGAGGCTTTTAGTTTCACCCTGAAAGTCGCTTGTACTAGATAGTGGTCTGAACCCACATCTGCTCCTCTCCTCGATCTTGTGTCTAGGAGGCTCCGTCTCCACTTCATTGAGATTGAAATGAAGTCTATCTGGTTTTTGGTGTGTCCATCTGGTGAAATCCATGTTGCCTTGTGTATATCCCTGTGTTTGAACACACTGCCACCAATCACCAAATCGTTGAAGGCGCAGAAGTCTGAGAAGAGTTCACCATTTTCGTTCATTTCACCAAGGGCCTCACGACCCATGGTGAGTTCTCTTCCTGTATTGTCTCCTCCCAGTTTCGCATTCATATCACCCATCAGGATTTTGATATTGCTCTTTGGGACGTTGTCCATTACTGTTTGTAGTTGACTGTAGAAATCCTCCTTCTTCTCATGTTCTGAGGCGTTTGTAGGCGCGTAGCATTGAATGATTGTAACCTTCCTTCCCTTTGAGTCGAACCTGGCTGTCATTATCCTGGAGGAGATTGGTTCCCACTGCATGAGAGCTTTAGCCGCTGTTGGTGACATCATGATGGCTACTCCCTCAGTGTGCTCGTGATCGTCCTCTGGGTGACCGGAGTGGATTATTGTCTCTTCAGTTGGTAGTTGGCTCCTTCCACATCCGTTCCATCTGCTCTCGCAGATTCCCCACACTTCTATTTTATATCTTCTCATTTCTGCGGCTACCTGGGCAGGCTTTCCAGTTTCGTACATTGTACGAATATTCCACGTCCCCATCCTTATTTTTGCTTTCATCGGAAGAAAGCACATCGGCTGACTGGCTTCCCGAAAGCTTTTATCAGCCTGCGTCATTTCACTTCCCTGATTCCAGCGAAAAATAAGGTTATTGTTTGTATTTTTAGAATTTTTAATATATTTGTGCGTTGAAGTTTCTGTAGCGATTTGGTTAAGTTTTGGGGGTGGAGTTGCTAGCACCACGCCCCAACCCTCCCTCTTTATCCGGGCTTGGGACCGGTTAGAAAACTAGCGAGCTAGTAATCTAGGCGAGGTTTATATATCATGACGCGATTTATTATTAATTGATTGACATGAGTATAGTTGGATATCACTCTCACATCAACCAGTAGTGATTATTGCTAGCCAAGTCACAGTGATCTAAGCACACCAGACTTCGGAAAGGCCTTCGACAGCGTTGACCAATACGTAATTTGGAAACTGCTTCAACACCATGGCGCTCAGTGTCCAAATCTTAATCAACCTCATTCAACAGTTATATGACAATGGCACGTATCAAGTGATCCACTATGGAAAACTTAGCAAGGCGTTCGAAATGCATACAGGAGTAAGACAAAGCTGCCTATTATCACCGATGATATTCTTAATTGTGTGGACTGGATTATGCGTCAGACTCTGAGGAACGAAGAGACAGGAGTATGCTGGATTGACCGATAAGAAGACTATAGAAGATATGGATTTTGCACGTGGATCATATATGTCTGACGTCACATAGACTCGAAAACTTGCAGGCAGGCTAAAACCAACAAACTGGCCGAGGAAGCAGGCAACGAAGACAGGACTACAGGTGAACATAGAGAAGACGGAGGTGATTAAGATAACCAACGAACCGCAACAACCAGCACAAATCACCATCAGTGGGAGAGATTTAACAGAGATTGCTTCCTTCACTTATCTATGAAGCATCGTTTCAACTACAGGCGGATGACACGGATGAAGATATCAAAGCCAGCCAATCAGAATCGGAAAGGCAAGATACGCCTTCATAAACGTGAAACCAATTTGGAAATCTTCGACACTCAGACAGCATAAACAACAAGATTCGGAGTTTCAAAACTAATGTCAAGTCGGGCCTTCTATACGGGTCAGAAACTTGGAGGGCGCGTCACGAAAAGTATTTCCAACAGGTTGCAGACTTGCATCAGCTGCCTTCACTCCATACTGAGGATCAAATGGCCAGAAAGAATTGACAACAAGAAATTCTGACTGGCAACAAACCAACCAACAGACGAGAGCCGATCGCTCAACAAATATGTAGGAGGAAATGGAGATAGATTTATCGGGCATACATTGAGGAAAGTGCTGAATGACATCGCCCGCAATGCAGGCTATTGGTCAAGTGGAATCCAATTGGGAATCGATGAGTTGATTGTCCTAGGGTAACATGGAGGAGATCGTGTGAGGAGAAGATGAGAGATTGTGGGCAATCCTGGACCCAAATGAAGAGGATGGCAGAAAATAGAAGAAAGTGGGAATCTGTTGTTGAAGCCCTATATTCCACTCGGGAATAATAATAATAATAATCAACTTATTTTTACATTTTTACGTATCGTGCTTTTAGAGTTTCCCTGTTTCATTCACTCCTTAACTCTGGTGCAAAAATAGATTAAGGAAACAGTCTCTCAGCCCTTTACACTTCGTATGCAGAGAAATGTTTTACTTCCAAAATTTATCCAAAATCATAAGACTTAGTGATGTACAAATCCTACTGCATCGCATCTTTCGTCAATGTCCATGAATCTAAACTTTTGACTAGGTTTGAAGAAAACTACGATTAAATGTCAATGTCTTTCATTGGGTAGTAATTGTCAACGAGGATATCTCTTATTTTAGTGACTCATAATCACAGGATTTTAACATAGATTAATAGAGTTCAATATTATTGTAGAAGAGCATTGTGTTAAAAAGCCTTTATATAATGACCACCGAAATAGTGTCACAAAAAACTAGTGATAAATGTTTTAGAAATCGTCACTGCATCACTTTTGAAAAATTATCGATGTATGAAAGGAGGGCTACTTTTTGACAGATGGCTTTGAAGTTTGTACTACTCATATAAACATTTTGTTGCAAATGCTTTTGAAGAATTACGCGGACTGCACATTTTAGCATTCATCTCCAGTAATAATTAACTGAGAAATTGTATATCGGCAGCTTTTTGAGAGCTAATGTGTGTGTATGCCAGATGAAACGTCATTCCGTGGGAAGGGAAGGCATTTTATTGAACATCAGTCTTCATACTCACTCCTACTTATTCTGTTTGTAAGAGGAGTCGTCCACATTGTTGTACCTTCAGTATCATGGCTACTGTTAGTAGTCAGTTAAGTTTTTCAAAGGGAGATAGAAGATTTTCAAGTATTGGTTTTGTAGAAATTAGATTAATTGGTTACAGGATTTCATCATAAGCTGATATCGGTTAGAAAACCATTGGAAAATCTGCCACAGTAAGTACTGAAGGACAGCCGTTTCGTCAACCTAGTTTGGGACTCTTCGGCAGTAGGCACCCACCACCACGACTTGAATCCAAGACCTTCTGGTTACTAGGCTAGCGATCTCGTAGACTAATAAGCTAAGACCCAATTCACTGAACAGTCCATGAATTCTAACTTCTGATAATTCATGTCATAGCGCGACCACTTAGAAATGTCTTCGATGAGTAACTATCCTCACCTTCAACCTGCTGCACCCTACTGGTCACGGCTTCCCACTAGGACGCCAGGTCAACTACCTGAATAGGGTCAGTCGCTAGTGAGCATCAGGTGGATTTTCAAGTATCGGTTTTTGTAGGGATTTTGTTTGATTAGTTGGAGGGTTTCATCATGAGCTGACATAAGTCAGAGAACCATTGGAGACAGAAGAATTCAATATTTCTTATTTGATCATTTTATATATTTTATGTATCCATATAATGTATGGGTTAGAATATTATGGTGTTTAATTACCACCGCATTTCAGAAATGACTTGTGCACATTTCTTCAGTGTTACTGATGTGCTTCAATTTTGTAAACGAATGGAAAGAGAAAAAAAAAAATCAAATATTGACATTTCCATTGTCACTTGGATCCCCTTTCATCACAAGTATCTCCATACTTTCCAAGTGTATTACACATATACTGACACTAGACATTTTGGAATTCCTCTTAAAACTTTGTATTCATTATTGTTTAATTGCATTTTGTAGATCAATTGTGATTCGGATATAATGCGATGTACTCTGACAAATGTACCGTCGAATTCAAAACTGTTAACGCGTTGTCGTTTACCTCTTGGCCTTGTTATGCATCCTTTCCGTGATTTAACCAATTTACATACAATTCATACAACAACTATAGTACGTTGTCGATCATGTCGAACTTATATTAATCCATTTGTGCAATTTATGGATTCTGGTCGTCGTTGGAGGTGTCCTGTATGCTTTTTGTCAAACACCGTTCCAGATGACTTTTACTACGATCCTGGAACACAAACCTATGGAGATCCTTCGAGAAGACCAGAGATTCGTTCAGCTACTGTAGAGTTTATTGCCCCGTCTGAATATATGGTTAGACCACCCCAGCCAGCTACTTATCTTTTTTGCTTTGATGTTAGTCACAATGCAATTGCTACAGGTTATTTACAACTTGCCTGTCAACGTTTGGAAGCGTTGATTAGTCGGATTCCAGGTGATTCAAGGCGTCAGGTAGCCTTCATGACTTTTAATTCCAGTGTGCATTATTACAAACTAAGCGGTGAGTAATGTGAACATTATCTTGAAAATCCTGATTCAAATGACTTTTATAACTGACTTGCAAATATTTTAACAATTGCTTGCCATATACTCATTATTAATATAAGAAGAGTGGATTTCACTAGTTTCATCAGTAGTGATCCAAAGAATACTTAGTACTTTTCATTCTAGCCTCCAAAAGCAGTTGGGAGATCAAAGAGGTTTTCAACCTCTAGGTGCTTTATCATTGATTCTTTTATGCTAGCGTCGTAAATACTATAAATAAACACTAATGTTTTGAAATATAACGAATGGAGCTGCTTCATTTCCCTGTTACCTGGTGTTATTTGGTGAATAGTGACCATTTGTGGAATCCAGAATACTCACTTTGTCCCACTTGGTTGTCGTCAACTGAATGAATGTACCTGCAATCTCCAGTTGGTGTTGGTATCTCCACTGAGACTCGAACACAACACCCATGCTGTCAAACGCCCACTAGGCTACTTGTGCAACAGGTATCATCGTCTGTGCTAGGGGCCGGCACGTCAGCAAAGCGTGTGGACATTTCGGTCCGATCTAATCAATCAACAAGATGTACAAAATTGGTACAATATGGCCCCAAAAAGATGCACCACAAAATAATAATAATAAAGCAACATGTGAGGTAAATAGTAAAAATATAAATAGAGAACGGATAAAGTACTTCATCTGGAGGGGGGGGGTTAGGAAAACAGTCAAGCTGTAACCGAAAAATTAAAAAAAAACAAGTTCAAACAGCATTCGTCGGTTATCGTCTGGAAGGGAAGAAAGAAATTGCAGCGCGTTCGCCATTAAACGCACTTCTTGGACATATCCGATAACGTTTAGAGCCATCGATTCGAACTATCTCTCGGACTCCAACCAGGGAGTTGTGTCGCATTAACCAATGCTAACCTAACACTAATATCCCTCATCTCACGACGCAACGTCACGGGCTGACTGCCCCCTCCGATTTTTCCACCCAGGGCTAGTGAACAGAGACGTGTACGGAAGCCTCTGGGATGACATTCGTAACACATGTCCAAACCAGATGACAATACTCAACGAATGGTGATCTCCACCGTGTTCAAACACACTGCCGGACCTCAGAATCACTCACACGATGATACCATCGAACACAAGCAATCCTGCAGAGACAGTGATGATCAAATACATAGAGTCAGCGAAGATCCTCAGCTCAGACAGGCCAGGTTTCACTGGTCACAGAGCAAGACAGCACTCACCGAAGCATTGCAAACCCGACCTTTGACAACCAAGGTAATGTCGGGACAGCGTCAGGTGTGGCTCAGGTTGACCTATGCCACTGTTGCTTTCATGATACGGTTGGAAATCTCATCCGCCACGTTTCCGCCAGCAATCTCACAACTATCCATATACACGAACTTATCGACGATTTCAAGCAGTTTACCTACCGGTGTGAGTGTAGGTACAGGCTCCTACCACTCTTGTAACTTTACTTTGCACTGAAACGGGGTGAAGGGTATACCATACTTACAGACACTAATCGCCAATTGTTTAAGTGTGATTTGAACAGCCTTCATGCTATCGCGCACAGTACGATGATATCGTCTGCATACTCCCGGGATATACAAAATTAACTTAAACAAACAGGTTACTTAGTTTACCTCTTCTTTAAATCCACTGTAGATATGTAATCTACTACTGTTTATTATAGTTGAAAATAAAAATGAAAACGGCATGCATTTATTTTTTCCCATTCACTTTCCTTTTTTACTGCCTTAGGTGAAACTATGCGAATGTTAATTTGTCCCGATTTAGAGGATATATTTCTACCGGATAATGAAGGTTTACTTAACCGAATCGACGATTGTACTGATGTGTTACGCGAATTCCTTTTGCATTTACATGAGAATTTTATTGGAACAAATGATACAGGAAATTGTCTTGGATCTGCTCTTCAGGTAATCATTATGCCTGTGTGTGTTTTATGTTACTTGTTGTTTAAGTGTAGATGAATGACAGTCTCAGAGATCTTGTTAAACTTGAACCGGTGAGAAGATAGAATCATCACTCCTTTTTGTGTATCATACGTTGCAAACTTGACTGATAGAATTCAGTTTGCAGTAAAAAATGATTAGACACATGACACTAGTTAGTGTCCAATCGAAAGTATCTAATACAGTCCTAGAGGAGGTCAATCGTGAGCTCAAATAGCTGCTCAGTGGTAACGTCTCTGACTGCAGGCGGCACTTGGTGACACGGGTTCGAATCTCAGAAGGGACATGAGTTCCTTCAAGATGGCAGATACGCCTTGGTGACTGGTGAATGCCGACTAGCACGAAGCCTAGGTCCCGTCAAGGCTTCCTGTGGCCGATTGCCTCCAACCATCTAATATCAACAATTCAAAGTACACCATGATGACAAGCCACCTAGTGGTATGATGGCCACATTGCAAACCTTACTGACTGATAGAATTCAGTATTCAATTAACAAAGGATTAGACACATGACAATAGTTAGTGTCCAATTAAAGTACCACATGTTCTTTAAATATATCAAACAAGTGAAAAAAAATTCGGTAGACAATATACTACATAATTTTTACAGGCTATGGATCGCTCTCCAAACACACATAATAAACTATTTGAAACGTCGGTTGATTTTATGTCAATGATAATACTCACAGCTTTAATTATGTTATCAAAGAATGTCACAACATCTCGAAGTTGACCAACTCATATTTGCCTATAATTTCATTCGACCTTCACTCTGCTAGAATACCGCTCGTTCTTAACTGTATAAGAGTACATTTTCTGTCTTAAAGCTTGTCAACTTTCACTGTCACTTTTTACACCGTCTAATTCCTTTCTGCCCTATCGATATTCCGTTTCCGTGCTGTTATAAATTGTGCAAAGTTGACTATATACATTACTTTGTAAGATTTCCTATCGTTGTATGTCCCCCGTAGGCGTCCATGTTTATTCCTTCTTAAAGCTTACAAATCGCAAATAGTCGTATTCACACCCAACCATTCTTCTCTGAATAATGTGTCACGTTTTTCTGAACATTATAACCAGCCAGTGGTATTCGCTCAGTTATTATCCTGTCATAGGAGGATTTTCCTAGAAATTTAGGTACATATGTCTACATGTATTTAGGTTAAAGTGCAGGTTGTTTCATCTTGTTGTTGTTGTTTTCGAACTGCTGAGGCAACGTAACATACTGATGACTAGTGTAGGTAGTTGGAGATAACGTATTAACCAGTAGTAGTGGTATTCTCTGGCTATATGAAGGTGACTTACTCAGACAATAGTTGTTGATTAGTTGTCGCGCTATGTCGTGGATTGGCAGAAGTTAGAATTCATGAACTGGCCATTGGATTGGGTCTCAGTGGCTTAATGGTCTACGAGCCTGCTAGCCTTGTAACTAGGAGGTCCTGGTTTCGAACCCTTGCAGTGGGGTGGGTGAGTACTGATGAAGAGTCCCAGACTAGGACGAAACTGCTGTCCGGTACTCCCTGTAAGTTTTTCCACTGGTTTTCTAACCGATATCATCATGAAATCCTGTAACAAATAGTTGTTTCCGCTTGTTTAGGGTAGAGCACATCAGCAATATATCCTAATCGCTTTTCTGCTTAGATAACTAAAAGGTTGGTGGAATTGTGTTCTCTCAGCTGAACAGTTTAGTAGCAGAGCTTTTATTGTCATTCTAGGCAACACCAGTACTTGTTTTAATTTGAAGTATGTTCTGAAGATGTATAGAAAGACAATAAAAGTTTCACAAGTAAACCATTCATCTCAGAAAATACAAATACGCTAATGTTATCCATCTATGAGCTACACATCTGCATCATATCTAACTAAGCTGTTCAAACGACTTGAATTTTGACTATCTGCTCTGGCGGGTTGACAACATAAAATTAAAGTGTGTAGTAAGTAATATCTGGCTTTTCTAGTCTCAATCAATTTCATTTTCATGGTCAAACACATAGCGCATATCATGATGATATGAATACTTTAGATTTCCAGAGGCAGGCGTCTATAGGTCTCTTCTTGTGGATTGTATAATTTCTAATCATTAAACCATCTGGTTACAGGATTTCATCAGGAGCTGACATCGGTTAGATAACCATTAGAAAACCTAGGAGTACTGGACAGCTGTTTCATAGTTTGGGACAAATACTCTCCGAAGACATTGGCTCGCGGTCGCACTATGTCATGAATTATCAGAAGTTAGAATTCATGGACTGGCCATTGGATCAGGTCACAGTGGCTTGATGGTATACGAGCTCGCCTTGTAACCAAAAAGTTCTCGGGTTCGAACCCTGGTGGCGGGTGAGTACTGATGAAGAGTCCCAAACTATGCTGACGAAATAGCTGGCCGTCAATGGTTCTCTAACCGATATCAGCTCATGATGAAATCCTGTAACCAATCAATCAAATCCTTACAAACCAATACATTGATTTATCTAAACGTAAAATGATACTAGTTTTCTAAAAATAGATATTGTGCTGACTGTAAAAGTTTTTCACTGTCTTGTTTTCAGCTAATGACCTTTGCTCTTATCTGTAATAGAAGTAATAATAACAATAATAATTATATTAATAATAATAATAATACTAGCTAGTTCACAGTTTGTAAATGTATAATGTGTATGTGTGTGTGTGTGTGATTAAATAATCGGTAAAATCTCACACACACCTTGTAGAGTTGTGTTGTTGTGATTTTTGCTGTTACGTTGTGTTTTATTGTGTTTAGGTCCTGTGCAAGACCAGAAATTATTGACCCTGACTATCTATTGATTGTGTAAATAAATAAAATCATTAAGTGTTAACAGAGAAATTGGAATAAATTTGAAAAACAATGTAATATGACTTGTCTGTAGAGACATAGACTGTGGACTGTATAGAAAAGAAACAAAAACAAAAATAAACGCTAAATATCATTTACCGCTGGTGTTGGCATGACTGACATTGAATATTTGCTATTTTATTAGGCATATATTAAGAATTAATACATGAACGGAGAGATCAGCATCAAGCTATTTCATACAAAAATTACACCCCACCAATGGTGTTGAAGTTATGCAATCTAGATAAAAAAAAAGTATATATGAAAGTTGATAATTGAATGTTTGTAGATAACTAAAAATTTCTAGGCGGATTTCAAACAAGTATTAATAGTACTAGTGTGGTGAGAGCTGGCTGTAAGCCAAAATTGTAGACAGCAATTTACATCGATGATCACATCCTGATTCAGGGTCATGAGAAAAAAACAATAACAAAGTTTAACCTTGAGAAAATCACCAGCCAATCACAGCGGAGTTAACGTATGGAAATATGATATATGGCTTGACTTTTTGAGAAACGACCACAAAGAGACGACAGAATAACGTTCAGCAAGAAAACAACCAATCGGAAGGGGTTGCCTCTCCGCTAAGAATAACGCTAATAATAATGCACATAAAAATCTATAAATACCTCTTGATTTTCTCAATAAACAGTCTGTTGCCTGGCTCTTGTCTTCTGTCATTACACTAGTACGTTATTAAATATTACTTTGCAAGTTGTAGCACTTCATCTAAACAAAGGCATGACCATTGGAAAACCACCAGTGAGTAGTGTATGATTTATTTTTCCCGTGGTATACATATTTCTAAAAATATTGGCAAGTCACCTGACTTGTCTTTGCTCATACCACTAATTTATTAGTGTTTGGTAGGTAATCAAAGTCGTCACTCTGCTGACTTGATTGCATGCAACCGTAACTTTAAAAAGTAGTCATATATACACATATATATGATTTAGAGTAGATATGTTTTTTTGTGCGATATTTTATGTGTACACACATCTTTTCATTTTTATAGGCTGCACAGAAGTTAATCGGTTCAACAGGCGGTCGAATTACTGTTTTTAATACATGCCTTCCTAACATTGGTGTAGGCGCTCTCAGTTTACGCGAAGAACCAAGTGATCGTTGTTCAGTGGAGATAAAACACTTGAATTTATCAACTGACTTCTATAAAACTTTCGCTTTGGATTGTGCTCATCAACAGGTATCATTGAAATATTATTTCTATTTAATATGTACTTTTTTAAAAAAAATATTGTAGTTAATTTCACAGACGTTGTAATTTTCGTTTTCTTATTGTATTCATATTCAGAGATATTCAAGTCCAACAACTTGGAGTTCGCATTTTAAAATCTTTTCAGTTTTTTATTGGAATTCGACTGTGTTATGCTATATCACGCTTTTCTTCTTCTCATAGAGTAAAAGCCAGAGATGGCGTATGTTGGCACATGCTAAACAAGCCTTGTGTATCCGTACTGAGATTTCATCAGCGATAAACCTGCTGTTGTGGCTGGCTGATGCAATTCCCGAAATAAGTGAAGTGGTCAATATGCCCCACCAATCACTTCACCACATCACTATCGTTAAGCCAGGAGCAAGTCAATGTAGTCCAGTCCTGTAGCACCATCTTACATTTGACGGGAGCGAATCGCATGTAAAAAATTCGAAGATTGTTGCTCAAGGTATTCAGAAAACTGCATTTTGTCAGCGTGTTCACCTAGAAGGACTAGATCATCTACATATTGTAAGCCAACAAGATTATTCATTAGTAGCAAGTCAATCCCCGAGTCGCTGAAATCAGCGTTAAGTCCATTAGTACATCTATAATGAAATGAAACAGAAATGGGAACGTTTGTGGGCATCCCTGACGGACATCACTGCACTGGTTGTCACCATTTCAGATGACAACTCTCCGTAGGCAACTCTTACCATGCTGCATGACTTCGAGTAGAGTAGAGTGAGTGCCTTGATCAGTGCAATGTATTTTCTCGGTATCTCCTTCACAGTCAAACATCGTCATAGTACCTCTCGGCTGACGGGATCGTATGCCGCTTTCAGTTCAAGAAATATGACGATTGTGTTCCCAAATAGGACGAAACGTGCATCCTGAATTCAATTACTAGTCACCGTCCATCATGTAATCATTCCTTTGTTATAAATAGAACTTTCTATTTTTTTCTTTTTGATTCACCATAGAATATATAGCTATGATATTGCTGTCTTCGTATAATGACTTTATCTTTCGGTTACAAAATTACAGGTGGCCGTTGATATGTTTATCTTTAATTCTCAATACTGTGATATCGCAACAATATCTGGAGCTAGTCGTTTTTCAAGTGGTACTATTCATCATTATCCAGACTTCTGTTATTCACCACAAATTCATGATGCACTGCTTGACAATGTACAATCAAACAGTACTACACAAACTACCAATGCGACATCAAATAACTACAATAAATGTCAATTTTCTGAATGTGTTGAAGTGGAACGATTCCGTCGGGATTTCGATCGGTATTTGGTTAGGAAAATCGGTTTTGAAGCTGTTATGCGCATTCGGTGCACTCAAGGATTAAGTATTCAGGTTTGTATTATACTCTTTTTTTGAAATATAATCTGTTACATATATATAATTCCCTTGGGGCTTCAACAACACATCTCCAATTTGTTCTATTTTCTTCTGTCTCTTCAGCTGGTTGACCACACGACCACCCTTGCTCTCTCTTCTTCTCGACACACGATCTCCTACATGTCACTCTCGCAACGACGACCCACTCATCGCTTCCCACTGGGATTCCATTTGAGTGATGGCTTTCATTGGGGTTTTTGTTCGACGGCCTCCTCAGCGTATGCCCAGTCCATCTCCACTTTCTGTAGCATATTTGTTGATCATTCGGTTACTGGTTGGTTCGTTACCAGAGTTTTTTGTTGCTAATACTTTCTGGCCTGTCATGTGATCGTCCGTATGGAGCCAGCGAATGCAGCTGTTGATAAAAGTTTGTAGTGGCTTCTTGGAAATGCTTCTCGTGATGCACAGTGCAAGTTGCTCACCCGTATAGAAGAAGTGACTGACTTCACATTTGTGTTGAACAGATTCCAAATCTTGTTGTTTATGCTGGCTAAGTCAGTGCAGAAGATTTCCAAACTGGTTTCAACTTGATGCCTTTCCGATTCTGGCTGGCTGGGCTGGCTTTGACATCTTCATCCGTTCCGCGACTGCCTGTGGTTGAAACCGTGCTTCCAAGATGAATGAAAAAAGCAACCTCTGTTAAATCTCTTCCGTTGATGATGATTGATGCTGATTGTTGGTGCTGTTGTTTGGTTGATTGGTTATCTTCATCACCTCCGTGTCCTCTATGTTCACCTGAAGTCCTGTCTTCGCTGGCTGCTTCTTCAACCAGTTTATTGATTTTGTATTAAAATTGATTAGGTTTATTTTGAGTTTGACTGATGGAAATGATTTTTTCTTTCACACGTGTGGCTATTCGACTTTGACTGAAATGGTGGATTTTGGTTTCGTTTCATGAGATTTCGCCGACTAAATATTGAACCTTACACATAGTTAATTAGCTGCTCTAAAAGTAGATAATTAGGGATTCCAAATTCTCCTAACAACCTCATATTACTTCGCTGCGAGTTGATGCTTATCAAGAAAAAGGTCAGATGATAATATTACTGGGCAACAGCATTTTGTATTTAATTGAACGACATATAGTCAATTGTGTATGGATTTCCAATTATAATCCACTTTTCAAATGATCTCCATGACTATACTGTAGATCATCTTTTTTTATGTTAAGGATGTGTGAAGTGGAGAAAGTCATATAACATTCATATCGATGATAAGTGGTTTTAAGATCCCACTTAAAGTGAATAACATGTGTCAATCCTGTGCTAATCACCAGTTAGTTAATGGGGATTTATAACTCAGGTGGGATGGTTTTGATGTACATAGACATATTCGTTTTAAAGCTTTTATTATCTTTCTGGATATCTTCAATGCAAACATCACTGTGAAGTCATTTTATTTGAATTCTCCATGGATGTAATGTTGTAATTGTTATCTCCTGACAACCTTTATTTTGATTGGTTGTCAATTTACATCCATATTGACCCTTGTTTTTCTTTTAATGAATAACTGAGTATTACCTGTTTTTTTTCTCTCTTAATATGTTATCCCCACTATAGACTTTTCATGGCTCTTGCTTTGTGCGTTCTACTGATCTGATGTCATTGCCCAATGTGAGTCCTGATTCTGGCTACGCTGTCCAGTTAGATTTATCCGAAAGCTTAGAAAGATGTGGCACAGTATGCTGTCAGGTATGTTATCTAATTATTCATCTCTGTTGTTCGTTTGTTTGTTTACTTTTTTGTCGTGTGTTTTTTCGGTTGCTCAATCACAGTGCACATACTGTCTAGTATGGGTTTCAATCAGGATTCTTCGCTGTTTATTTCTCACTTCTTTTTAAATCCTGTTTTTTCACCTTTTATTAGTTGAAGTACTAATTTCTCTGCACATATGTCACTCAAAAATTAGCAGTCCATCTCTGGTTGGTGATGTACCTGGGGGGAATGCAAGTAGTTTTGATTTTTCCAGTAAGGCTACTAGTATTTTTAATAAGCATATGAGAAATTGGTTTATTTCTATGGTTGCTAGCGTGTAGAGAGTGGGTTGGGGGGGGGGGGGGGGGGGGTATGACGTGCTGTCATACCAGGCTGGTTGACGTATACAGATATGATTCATTGACTTCCTCAGTTGAGATGGAATCATGCTTTGCCTGCTTTAAGCTGCTGTTGGGTAATTAGGTGATATTCTCCAGCCCTCTTTCACAATAACACTGTGACTCATATCCTGGTACATATTGAAAAAGGTGTTCCAGGTAATCGTGATCAAATTGAGTTAACATTTTGTTCTGAAGCTGTTGAATTTAGTGCAAAAAATAACAGTTATATTACTTTTGTTACTAATATGACTTTTTTCCTTAGTATTACGTATTTTTCCATTATTGGGTTGGGGGGGGGGGGGAAAGCAGTTTAATGTTCTGTTGCAAATAATTATCATTTCAAAAGTCAGTGAATTTCTGTAATGGTAATGTTGCCCTACTTTCTTGTCGCTTCACTAAGTATGAACGCCTAAAGTGTGTGTTGCCTCGTTGGCATAAACGAAGCCGGGTATCGATTTTATTTTTTTTTTGGCGCTAGGTATCTATATGTGAGTATACATTTGATTTTAATAATACATTCTTGTTACTTACTTTTTTTTCTATAGGCTGCTGTTTTGTATACTTCATCCAAAGGTGATCGGCGTATTCGTGTGCACACTTTATGCCTACCAGTTGTACATACTCCAACTGAAGTGTTTCAAGGAGCAGATCAAGGTGCTATAGCTTGCCTTCTAAGCAAAATGGCTGTTGATCGTACAATCACATCAGGTCTATCGAATGCTAGAGAAGCTTTAGCCAATGCTGTTGCTGATGCCCTTTCAGCCTACATAACAAGTTGTAGTATTTCACCGAATTGTAGTTCAACAACCTATGGTCTACCATGTCCACCGAATTTACGATTACTTCCATTGTATATTTGTGGTCTGCTTCGTTTTAAAGCTTTTAGAGTTGGAGTAGTCACACGCTTAGATGATAGATCAGCAGCACTGGAGCGTATTAAATCTGCACCGCCTAATGATCTAATCACTTTAATGTATCCAAAATTGTATGCTGTTCATCGTTTCGTCTCGAAACCTTTGTCTTCTCATGCTACTCTTGTACAAAAAGCAGCTAGTCTTCGTTTAGCTGATCATGGTGATGAAGAGCGTCCTTCGGATTGTGATGGAACATCTTCTTCAGGTGAAAGTGATGCTAATGCAGAGGCTGAACAATTGCCTAACCAGTTACATTTATCAGCTCAAAGTATATCACGTTCAGGCGTATATTTGTTAGATACTGGTGAACTTTTATTACTGCTAGTTGGCTATGGTGAAGATGTTCCTCCAGGATCAAATAATCCTTCAGATATTTTACGTCAACTTCTTGGTATTTCATCACCAAATGAACTTCCAGTACAAGGTGGTCCTTTCACATTGCCAATTATGAATTTACCTTCAGATAAACAAAATACGCTTAGTGAAGATAATACTTCTATACCAGTTGGACATCGTAGGCTATCCGCATTAATTAATCTTCTTCGTAGACGTCGACCAGTTAACAATGTTTTAGTTTGTATGCGTCATGATGCACCAACCACACTTCGATCGTTATTCTTATCATGTATGATAGAAGATAAAACAGAATCTGCTCCATCTTATCAAGAATTTCTTCAAATGATTCAAAATTTACTCAGGAGTTAAAAATTTTTAGCCTGTAGTTAATTAGTGTCTACTACCTCCTGGTCTCTTTGAAGTGTTGGTGTATAAAAGAGAGAAAAAATAGTGTGGAAGACAATTGAGGTGTGTGCGCGCGTAAAAGTGTGGTGTTGTTCAATCTGGTCATTGAGAGTGCCTTTCATTGAATGACTCGATTGTCAGTTAATTTGACTTCTGTGTACACTTTATTCTACGTGTAGCTATCATTATTTCAAGCAACACATATTTAGAGTAAAATTGGCGGCGGCGGCGGCTGGTGAAAGCGGGGGTGGGTGGGTTTGAGGGTGGCTTTTATGATCACCCTTACTGTCATTATTTTTAGTTCAGTTGTTTTGTTTTCTCTCTTTATCTTTTACAGCCTATTTTTCATAATTGTCAATCATACATACTTTAAGAGACTTGATATTGATTGTTACACATACATAGTATTATAGTATATATTACAGGACAACAACTAAATATCCTCTTATTTATTCAAAATGGTCTATTTATACACATTACTTTTTATTCCTTCTTCTAGCTGAATACATACATATATATATTTATATAATATTTCTTTGAAAAAAATTAATATGTATGTCTTTGTATTAATTACTACTATTATCTTCGTGTTTACCACCACCTGCTTCCCCTTGTTGCTATTATGTAATACTGTTACTAACTAGTACTTAATGGTAATGAGAATTAGGCGGATATGGAGAATTCTGGTATACTTTCTAAAATATCTAGAGAAATCTTGTCTCAACAATTTCTTTTCACTTTGACTTTCTCTCTTCGAATTTGTGTGCAGGTGTGTTTGTGTGGTGTCTTCAATTTCATTGTTTCTCTTTTTTTCAATTTTCTTGCTCTGGGAGAAGATGCGCCTCTCTCTGCGTGTGTGCATTCCCAATGCATGCGCTCAGTGAAAGTGCATTGTGTAATAGTGGTTTGTGTGTTAGTCCAGGATCCTGTGACGACAGCACACACTTTTCACTCAGAGTATTTTATTTGATGATTTATATTATTACACCTTTCTCATGCAACATTGATGTGTTATTTTTTTAAGCATTTCTCATTCTCATTATAAACGGTGCAGAGAGTTGTAGCTCTATAAGAGATTGGGATTTAATTGTAGACATATTTTAGGTGATTCACATGGATATCTGTGATGATAGTGCCTTAGACCAGCAAGAGACTGGAATTTTCCCCACCCACAGACACACACACACACACTCCGAAATCGGTCATCGACGTTTTACGATTAAGTATGTATAAATTGGATTCTACTGGGGGTATAGTCGTGATATGGATACCAGACCAGAAGTACTGACTAGTAGTACTCAGTTAATTTCAAAAATTTTCCACTGAATGGTTTTCTTTATTAATTTGCATATATGCGTGAAAGATTATCCTTGAAGTGGTTGTATAATTTAGCAGGGTATGTTCTCGATCGGAATGCTACTTGATCGATCTCTTCGATTCCCCTACTTGTATTAAGCCGAAGAAAGTATTTTGTGGGAGGGGGGGTGCAAGGTGTCGAAGCTTCTTTGTTATCAGAAGAATATTGGTTTCTGTAGCATTTTGTCTGTAGTACGCAAATAGTACTCCTAGTTTAAAAACTGTACGTCTATGTTTCAATGGTAGAATGTCTGCCAGTCACGAAGAAGGCATGGGTTCGATTCCCGGCTGATGCACAGTTAAGCCCCACTTGGTCGGGTAGATGGCCCCGAGAAAAGATAAGATTGGGCATGAGGCTTACTTAACCATTCCTTATTAAAGCCATCACTACTGGAAATTCAAATCTGGAAGCCCTGTGTCCCACTGTGGACGTAAAGCGATAGAGAAGAAGTCGGAAGACTGTATCTCTTCCATATTATCAGAGTTGGAATTACTAGGTAATTATTTATGATTTCTGTGCTTAAATATTGTTTTATGAAGCGATAAATATATAGTTGAAAAAAAATTCTGTGATAGGAACCTTCGAGCAAGAATTACTCCTTGAACTTTGATTAAATCTATGCTTGAATAACTTTCAGTCAGTTAAGGTATTCATTCATTTATTTAAACGCAAAAATCTTTGTACAATATAGCACCAAGAAGATGCACCACAAAATAATAAGAAAACACGTGAGATGAAAGGTAAAAATATAAGTAGAGAACGGATACAGTACTTCACCTGGGGGGTTAGGAAAACAGTCATATTTAACAAGTTCAAACAGCATTCGTCAGTTATCATCTGGAGGGGAAGAAAGAAATTGCAGCCCGTTCTCCATTGATTGAGACTCTTGGCTATATCCGATAACGTTTCGAACTATCTCTTGGACTCCAACCAGGGAGTTGTACCGCACCAACAAATCCTAACCTAACACAAATATCCTTCATCTGGTGACGCCACGTCATGGGTTGACCATCTCTCCGCTGTTTCCATCCTGGTGAACAGAGACGTGTACGGAAGCCTCTGGGCTGACATTCGTAGCACATGTCGAAACCACTGAAGCCGGTGTTTCCAGATGACGACACTCAAGGAGTGGTGATCTCTACTGTGTCCAAATACGCACTGCCAGACTTCAGAATTACTCACATTATGAAGGCATCAAATGCAAGCAATTCTCTGGAGACGGCGATGATCGAATACCCAGAGTCGTCGCACATCCTCAGCTCGGAGGCGCCAGGTTCAACAGCCGTAGAGTAAGACAGCACTCACCGACCTTTGACAACCAGGCTAATGTCGGGACGGCGTCAGATGTGGCTCAGTTTGACCTATGAAACTGGTTGTAAATCTCATCCGTGACGCCTCCACCAGCACTAACACAACTACCTAGATACACGAACTTATTGACGAATTTAAGCGATTCACCTGGGTGAGTGAATGAGAGTAAAGGCTCCTGCCAATCTTGTAACAGTACTTTGCGCTTAGTTGGCGAAAAGCACATACTATACTTAGGACACTGATCGCCAACTGATTAAGTACATACTACTCTAACTTTCAAATGGAGAAGATAATCGAAGCACTTCATTGGGATCTTGAATGCGGCTCTCTGAAATGCAACAGACATCAATTGCGAGGCTTTCCAATGTTGTTACCAAACCTGTTTGTTGTCCGATTTGCATCAGTGTCCAAACATTGTAGTTGGTCAGTTTGAACGCGTCACACAGTTCCTGGATATCTGTGTTAGGTGTCCCACTTGGAACAAACATTTAGAAGGCTACTCACTAACAGCGTAGATACGTTGGTAATTCAGACAAAGCGTATGTCTGTTCATGTAGACAAAGCATGCGATAAGTTTGAAGGGTAGCAATCCAAATGAAAGAACAACCTAAGCAAGTGATAAGAATTGCTCTAAAATTATGAGTTTGTACTATGGTTCACGACGAGATACTGATATTCCACATGTAGACTGACTGTGAAATCCTACACGAAATGTGTACAGCAGTGTCGAGCCACTTATTTTAATGATAACATGTCGTATAGAATGGGTAAATTTCTATTGAAGTATTCAAAACGAAGCAAGTCCATAGGTTATTTTTCAGAAACTGTTTCCTATCTGCTACTCATCGTTCTCTTGGAATACATATATTTCTGTCGTGGATGACGTGTGGCTTCGAGTTGCACAGGTGGATAAGTTTCCTAAGAATTTCACCTACACTTTTTTGACTAAAATAGGACCATAATCCAGGGTTTCATGCTAAGTGAGATTATCTGCCGTTTAAGCTACATTAATATTTTAGATTTGTGGAGTCCTAATTTCCTATGATATTTCCGATTTCTATTTAAATCAGATAACAGTTGTTGAAATAATAGAGAAGATTTGTAGCTCAGGTGGATGATTTGCAATTAAAAGTGTTCTCTGAGCTGGTTGGTTTAGTTGCGAAGCTTTCGTCGTCCTTCTGGACAACATCTTCAGCGCCATATTTAGCACAAAGTGAAACGATTTAAATTTCTTCATGTGTGATGTAATTGCGTCTCCTGGTTACTATCTTTACATATGTACTGACCATTTTCTATTGACTTGGATTTTAAACTTTCCGGTCTCATGATTTACTTTTTATTAGTTGGTATATTTCATCTATATTAACGTGTTTGCTAATTGCATTTTCGTTTGAGTACCAGGCTTCTAGAAATTCCCTGACACTTTTGCTGTTTCCTCTGTCTAAGATTTTGAAATTATCCCAATCAAATTGATGACCATAATTGTCTGTATGCATTGATACTAAAGAATACATAGCATGTCTTTTCACGGCTGATTTATGTTCGTGGATTCTGATTCGAAGGGGACGCCCACTTTGGCCGATGTAATGCTTGTTGCAGTTCATACAATTTATTTTGTAGATGGTATTAATTTTATCCCCTTTTTCTATTGGATCTTTTGGTTTGCATAATGTCGAATTAAGCGATTTTACTGGTTGAAAAGAATGGAAGAAAAGTACCTACAAACGGTCTTCAAAAAGAATGGTTATCCACAAAATTTCATCAAAAAGTGTTTAAAGTCGAATCAAAACACCAACAAGAAACCATCATCAAAGACCACAAGAAAATTCATTCTACCATACATGAGGAATATCTCTGAAATAACAGCCAGAATACTGAAACCGTTAGATATAGATATAGCACACAAACCAGTAAAATCGCTTAATTCGATATTATGCAAACCAAAAGATCCAATAGAAAAAGGGTAAAAAATTAATACCATCTACAAAATAAATTGTATGAAGTGTAACAAGCATTACATCGGCCAAAGTGGGCGTCCCCTTCGAATCAGAAACCAAGAACATAAGTCAGCCGTGAAAAGACACGATATGTATTCTTTAGTATCAAAGCATATAGACAATTATAGACATTAATTTTGATTGGGATAATTTCAAAATCTTAGACAGAGGAAACACCAAAAGTGTCAGGGAATTTCTAGAAGCCTGGTACTCAAACGAAAATGCAATTAGCAAACACGTTAATATAGATGAAATATACCAACTAATAAAAAGTAAATCATGAGACCGGAAAGTTTAAAATCCAAGTCAATAGAAAATGGTCAGTACATATGTAAAGATAGTAACCAGGAGACGCAATTACATCACGCATGAAGAAATTTAAATCGTTTCACTTTGTGCTAAATATGGCGCTGAAGATGTTGTCCAGAAGGACGACGAAAGCTTCGCAACTAAACCAACCAGCTCAGAGAACACTTTTAATTGCAGATAACAGTTACTCCAGTTTTCGTGTTCGATGAAAATAGTGAGGCTCAGTTTCAGTCATGTTTGATCGGTTAAATGACATTGAGTGTCTGTGTCAATGAATATAGA